CCAACTGAATGGAAAGTCATAAAAAATGTTCCAAACCACCAACCAGATGAACAAGAGCATCAAAGAAGTTTGAAAGTAAGGATTGGCGATCTGGTAAACGCCCCTTGTCTGGTAATTCGTCAAGTCCCTCAATGTTGCTTAAAACCTGTTGCCATTCATGTAGAAAACTATGAATATTTGAGGCATGAAGACAAGGGTATGCCCCAATTTCATAAGCGTTTCGGAAATGGCGCTGGCTCAAACATATGTACCTTAAACGTGGGAAGGGTTCTTGCAAACAAATGAAAAAAGTTGTCTGTCCATGGGTACCCAAACGCTAGAACTTCAATTGTGTTCACTATTTGATGTTTCGGATATTTTGGTCTAAGATAAATCAACGATTTCCCATGATTATCAACATGTTCCCATGATTTTCCCATGATTTTCCATAAATCCATGATACCCTCTGGTTATGACTAACAGTTCGACATGGAAAGATCCACCCATGCTATTAAGAACGGTAAACCATCTATAAACCTATTGGCCATGGCTTAACCATGGCGAACTGTTAGTCATAACCAGCAGGGTACATCAATTTATTCCACAACTTGGTATATGCTTGGTTAATAGGATGGTTTATTATTTGGTTTACCACACTATATTAGGGCCATGGCTTTACCATGGCTATGTTAGTCATAACCAGAGGGTAAAATAAGATAAATATAAAGATGTTAAAGATTTTCCCATGATTTTCCCATGATTTTCCCATAAATCCATGGATAAATCCACGACCCAAATGGCTGGCCACTGAGTTTCCACTTGGATCCCCTGGGATCCCCCGGCGACCAGTCCAAGGCCTTGCAGGCCGCCGTATGGCTTCCCAGGCGCCGCTCCAAGGTCCCGCGGCTCCAAAGGAGGACCTGGGGCGAAGCAGCGCGACGCAGCGCGACGCAAAAATGACAGGATGGGGGGCCCCCCAGTGATGACAGTGATGTGAATGTTGGTGAAAAGAAAACACCAGGAAATAACAATTTTTTATAGTGAACACCAGAAAATGTGGGTAAAACAATGCCATAAACCATCCCCCAGTCATCACCATTTTTTATATGTGGTATGGTTACCATTCCCAGTCATGGGTAGTTTATGGCGTTGTTTTAACCACATTACCCCGATTTCAGGAAACCTCCATATATTTCCACAGGATGGAACCCCCAGTGATGTGAATGTTGGTTTATAAACACCAGGAATACTAGTTCGGTATCTAGAGCTATATCTAATATACCTACCATAAACCATAGTTTCTTCAGCCACAGCCATATCTCAACTGAACGCGAGCTCGACTGGGGGCCCCATCCTGTAGGCCTTTATATAACCAGCTAAGCTAGGCTCAGCTAGGCTCAGCTAGAAATTTGATCAGAATGAATGGTGAATTTTTAATGAAAATTCAAGGGATTGCATGAAAGTTGGTGAACATCACTTGGTTATTTGCGTTGGGGATATTGCTTGAGACTATGCGTGGGAGCATTGATGGGGGTTGAGAAAGGTCATCTTGAAAGTGGTTGGAGGATGTTGGAGATATGTGGATAGGTCATATATAGACATTTTGCACGTACAATATATAATTATCTATATGAATAAATGTATATATATATATATATAGTTATTGATGTTATATAGATAATATATCATAAGAGCCAGGGTTTATGGTATATTGACATATCATGACATTGTATAGTAGTGAATAGGGGTTATACAATGTTATACATCATTTTGTAGCTGGTTAAGAACTGAGAAAAAAGGATCTTACAACCACCTTGTAGATATATACAGTATGCGTATAATATGTATATATACACATTAATATGTATGTATATACGTGTATATATATATATACATACATGTATATATATATATAGACAATCATTACTGAGGGGTTACAAACTCCAGTTCTTCACCAGACGAACTCGCCTTCAGCCGTAGTTGCAGAGGATGGCCCTGTCAGTTTTCGAGGCGACAAACAGCGGGGTCGTCAGCGTCAACGGACTTCACCGGGGCAAAAAAATACGGTGGGGATTTCAGAATTCACCCGAAAAAAATCGGGATTTCACTGCTTTCACCCACTAAACTTGGGATCCATGTATGGTATATATGCTAACATTTGGGGTATATGGATGGTAAATGTTACCATATATAGCAGCACCATGGATCCTATGGGCTACTTGGCGAAAAATGGCGAAAGTTGAAATTCTTTATCTAGACATTTCTCGCCGTATGGTGGGAGCAAGCTGATATTAGAATGATGTTTTTGAGGAATACCCATTCTTGGACCCAATTTGAACTCTAGGACCTCTAGGACTATCCCCGTTGGCATGAATCATATGAAGCCGCCCTCTGGGCGGGTGTGACTCAATGACCCCGCTGGAGATCCGTCAACTCTTTGTACCAAAAGGCGCTAAAAGGCAGCGATTTTCAGCCTGTGACCATTGACGGGTGAAAACGCCCATGTTTCAGATTCTGAGCATGTAATGCAATCAATGATATGACTATGTGACATTATGTGACTAAGTGACTATGTATCATTTACGTTGGTACTATATTTTCATACATCACTGTTCGATGAATGCAGTGGTTGGTACATGTTGGTAGTGTATCAGTTTACCATTTTTTTCCAGCATGGAAAATTCAGATCGTTCTCCGACATTCTCTGATCATGAAATCGTCCGTCTGTTGGGGTCTACAAGATTGCAGTGGCCTGGGAGTGATACACCAGCCTGGTATACCTATGGATTACACCCATTGGTGTATCGTGCTTGTGAGAGTAGTCGGTAAACATCCGAAAATCTGCAATGTTTGGCGGTACCGTTTTCTCAAGAAATGGACATTTTTCCAATTGCAAAAGCAAGTTCCAAGACCAGGTTTTCTCAGGTTCCGCGTACTTTTTTTTGACGGGGCCAGCGTAAGAACTCCTTCGGCCTCAGCATTGGACCCTTCATGGAGCTTGTGACATCGAAAAAAACTTGGTCCAGTGGGTCTGCCGGAGAAAGATCCAGCGGCGCCATGGGGTTTTACAGGTTGAATGTGGTGGGCAAAATCATCCCATGCCCCGTTCAGGGCGTTCACCAAGAATGGAGCTTCAACATATTTCAACATGGTTTTGCACCATCCTGAATTTGGGATACATAGCCAATATATGCCAATATAGTATTAATGTGTATTCAATATCCCCCATGTCTGAGCCACTATGTCTTGTTTGGGATGTATTTGATATTTTGAGGGGATTGGATTAATGAGGAGGTGAGATTGTTACTGGGACCACATTGACCATACCAGCAACTCATACATTCATTTTAAAGTAAGGGCTGAATCCCGCAATCGGTGTCGTCCCAAACCTGTCAATAGTTCAAGACATACGAACATTTTCCTCCTGAAAAGGGCTCAAAATCCCCACACAGAATATCACAGAATGGGATCCAAAACTGGTTCCTTTCTGCATTTTCAGAGTTACCTGTAGCGTGAGATCTTTCGCAGGCATTTCAGAACCCACGATGATTTAATGGACCGCGGTGTAGCTTCAAACCTTCAAAGTGTTGTGGCAAAGCAGCAGCGTGCAGGGAAGAAGATAGTGGACATGGCTACGGGGAGTTTACTGTGGAATTATTTAGACATTGCACAAACATTGCAAAAGGTCTAGTATATACATACGGATGTGATATGGGCATATATGGGCAATGAGCTGTTTTTCCGGCTTGTAACTGTTTCCATACATTTTGTAATGTGGTAGACCCAATGATAAATCTCCAGTCTTGGATAGTTTATACAACCCATTTCTGTTAAAATAGGTGATGGTTTATGTTTGAGCTTTCCACATTACTCTCCAGTAGTGAAGCATGGTTCGCTGGAAAACCCCCTAACTACTTCCATGATCTTCCTAGCTATATATAAACCATTATAAACCTGAATTTTGTGCCGGTATTTCTCAGCCATGTTGACACCGTTGTGGGTAATGGCACCATCTTTCTTTGTTCATTGGTCTAGTTTCACATGTTTCACCCTAACTCGATGCCAATCCTGCAGGTACCCATGGATCAACCTTTTGTGAGGCCTCAGCGCAGGTCACAACTCGGCTGTTTCAGGGATGAGTTTCTGGAAACGCCAAGTCTCATCATGTCTCAGTTTCTGCTTGGTCGAGGGGTTGTCCATTCTTTGGAGTTCATAAATCCGTTCATACCCATAGGATCCATGTATGGTATATATACTAACATAAAGGGTGTATATTGATGGGATCCATGTTACCAAATATAGCAGCACCATGGATCCGTCATGGGATAAATGGACTGTGCTTGGAAGAAAGAAAATGGACGGTGCTTGGAAGTGACTTGGACGGTGTTCTTTTTGGAGACATCAGTGGGGTGGCGAAGAACTGGGCGTTCTGGGATGTGCAGACCCTTGCGTATTACGGTCTCGTAAGTAAGCCCTGCAAATAGAGAACCAAACATAGAACTGGAGGTGTTCTAGTTTGTTCCCGAAATTCAGCATAATGTAACAATGTGTATATATAGATATACAATGATATACATTGTATATGCAGTTTGAGATAGAAAACGAAGTTCTCGTGTAACAGGTGTCCATGTGGCTAGTCAAGTCGATCAGGACCTATTGGCATGTGCCGTACCTACTAACTTGAACGACCTGGATCTATACATTACATACACGTATGTAAATAGCAGCATCTCCAGAATTGGTGATATTTTCCTTGGCCCTCTTTTTTCATTAGTCCTGGTTCATTCAATGACTGGACACGAAGGTGAAGGAGTTTTTCGATGGTGGCCGCAGATGATCGCAGCGTTTTGCCCAGAACTTTCGTGACAAGTGCCATAGTGGGATGCTTGATCTGATGTCATTTCTCAGCAAAGATGGCGACAAATTTCCACAGAATTCCACAGAATTTAATCAAGAATTTTATCGATGGAGACAGTTTTAAAACTGTTTGATGATCATTTCGATGGAGAAGGTGGCCGTTGGCATTACCAAATTGGCTCAACACCGTGCCGAAAGTTTGGTTTTCCGATGCTTTCCTGCTGTGTGGCTCCGGCTGGAACCTCAAGAGGTCACGACTCGTGGTGTGAATTTTCCTAAGCCATGTAGGTGCCCGGATCCCAAAAACGCTGGGTTTCACGGAAAATCTCATTAAAACTTTCTGGTGCTTAGTAAGTAGGGAATTTTCAGGAATGATCCACTGGCTATGAATAATCATCCCAGCAACCCATCCAGCAACCCCTACGTTTAGCACCAGTAAGAAAATGGATGATGACTGGGGGTACCCCCGTGACTTGGGGAACCTCCAAAATCCTCCAAATAACTACTATACCTATCCTGCTGGAAGTCGACAATCAATTTTTTGATAGGCTTGTCTCAGGCTTGCCACGCACAGGTTTGGGGAATGCACTTCGGAATGAAGCAAGTCAAGTGCAAACTGGGGAAATTTTCCCAATGTGCAAATGAGAAAATTATCTATGGAGGATTGTCCAGGCCATTTTGGATTAGAGGGTAACGTCACTGGTTTTTGTTTCAGGTTCCAAGAAAATTCGGCGACGTTGAAAGTCCTTGGTTCACTCAACAAGCTGTGGCTAGGTGTTTCATGCTGAGACTTCGGTAATCTGAGTCCCTTAAAGTTTTTGGGGCCATGGCTGGATGCTATCGGCATCTACAGGCTTGCCACATTCCAGGGTCCCGGGCCCCAAGTTAAAATCATTCACCATCACAACTGGGGCGCTGTACAAAGTTTCAGGTCGTGGACGATGTCCAGACAGAAGTTGAAGTTGTGACCGGCACTGGTTTGGACACCGACCAGAAGGTGCACCCGGAAGGGAGATTTCTTGGTCCGAAAATCAAGGACCAAAGGTGACCAAAGCTGAACTGAATGGTCATGATGCAATGTGGGCCCGATGAAAAAACGAAAAAACATATGAAACCAGGGATGTTTTTCCATGAATCTATTTAAATCCGGGATTTCACTAGGATCTCACCAGATTTACTATATTTTTTACCATCATTTATGAGTGTTTATGGTAGATAGATGAGGCCTTATTGTGCCTGTCCAAGTTCTACGACTGGGGTATTTTTGGGCCGCCGGGGATCCCCAGTCGTCACCTTACTGTAGTTGTTTCAATAGATAGTTATGGGATAGTTATGGTATGTTATGGTCATCCAAGTTGTTATAGGTTAACCCATACATAGCTACACTATCCTACACTAAGTTATGGTCATCATTGATCATATTGATCATCTATGAGGACTGGATGATCCTTTTGGGGGTACCCCCCTGGCTCCGACATTTGTCGTCACGGACACCGGGCCCCTTCGCGCCCCGGGAACAGCCAGGAACTTGAAGATGCCTTCGATGCCTTCGATGCCTTCGAAAACACTGAGCAGCCCACCTTGCTTCGACAGGCCGGCAAGACTTGGGATGGCGTAAGATTTCATGATTTTTCGTGGGTAATAAAAATGGTATTTCGTAGGCATTTAACCAGCAAGGCCCTGGGGAGGTGTTGCCGGAACTTAGCAAGAAATTGAACCACTGATTGGTGGTTTGGATCAGTTTTTATGACTTTCCATATATTGGGAATTTCATAATCCCAACTGACGAACTCCATGATTTTTCATAGGGGTAGGTATACCACCAACCAGACCATCTAAACCGATCCAAAACGAAAGGGATCTTGGTATCAAATATATCCCAATGCATGAGGATCCCATTGACTGTTGCAGATGGAGCAGAGAGATGGCCCTTGAAGCCGTTGAAATGGATGCTTATAATCAAAGATGGGGAGATTAAACAACTCAACTGATTACTCACCTGATATGATATGTATATTTATTACGTTATATAAATACAAATATGTTATATATTATATTATATATATATTATATATATTATATATATTATATATATTATATATATTATATATATTATATATATTATATATATTATATATATTATATATATTATATATATTATATATATTATATATTATATATATATTATATATTATATATATAATATATATACTATATAATTATTTAATATATATAATATAATATATATATATATATATTTATAATATATAATATATAATATATATATGATATATATAATATATATTATATATATAATATATAAATATATAATATATATAATATATAATATATATATATATATATTATATATATTATATATATTATATATATTATATATATTATATATATATATATATTTATATATATCATATATATATTATATATATTATATATATCATATATATTATATATATTATATATTATAAATATATATATATATATTATATATTATATATATTAAATAATTATATAGTATATATATTATAAATAGATATATATATTATATAATTATATAGTATATATATTATATAATATTATATATATATATTATATTTTATATGTATGTATGTATGTATATATTATTTCCAGCAACCTAGTGTCCCAGGTGCATCCACATGTTGTTTAACCGGGACCAATGATTTTGACCAACCGGTGCTTTCAAATCCATAGTTTCCAATGGATTTTGACATATTTGACTAACTGCTGTCCAGCATGTGAAAACCCATGGCTTCGGATGATGATTTCCCTTGGCGACCCCGGGCTACCGTTGATTCCCGAAGGATCGGAGTTTGCAAGACCTGAAAGCAGTGAATCTGCCGGCGGACAAGGACTGCTGTATCGAATCATGCCTGCGTGGGAATCGATATTAACCAACCAGGATTACATGGAATGATAGGGGGATTTTGAACACGGCTCACGTGGTGTTTTTTCACAATTGACAATGTCATAGATCAACTCATGATACCAATCTTACATGGATATCATGGATATATGATATAGCAGCTAGACGTGAAGAATTCGATCTATGTTAATTCTATATTAGTGTCTATTGTAGTTCTTGATTTTACCATAGTTTACCTATAGAAGTTACCTGTAGAAGTTCCCCTTATATGTGGTATAACCCGGCTCTGCGAGTTCAGGGCCTGCCAAAGGGATCCAAGTTGGGTAAGTTGGTTGATAACTAGGCTACCTATAGGATCTATGGTGAATCTATGGTGGATAATGATATTTATAGTTAGATGGGGTAATTGAAACTAACTTCCAACTGGGGCAGCAGTTTCTTGTGTGGGGTATCTAGGCTGTCAGCAGCCTGCTTGAAGATCCGCATTCAAAAGGTAAACCTTCACAGTTTGCGAACTGGAAAATCACCATCTTAGAAAACGGTAAATCAACAAACTTTCTATGGGCCGTTGTATCAATAGCAAACTTGTGCCAGGCTTTTGAACCACCAACTGGGTAGAGAAATCACCACCGTTGACATGTCCCCGATGCAAAACGTGTTGGAATTGAAACATCACAGAAACCTAAAGACATCAACATGTACAAAAAGAAACGCATGGCCGTCTAAAGCGATTCCCACCATCGTTTCCGCCGTCTTATCGCCAGATTGTTGCTATCTGTCTGATCAGCATCCACATGGTTGCTTAAGATCAGAACGTTCCCTAGTAATTAGTCCCTGGCTTATATCCCTGGTGATGTTGATTTTCTTGCGTCATGTGGGTCATGTGGGTCATGCGCCCGTTCTTGTTAGAAGAATGCACAGAAAGAGTGGACAAGCGTCATTTCTGGCTTAGAGGCTTAAAACCTCCATTGTTGCAGTCATATCATATCCTGTTTGCAGCTTAAATCCAGTGATTCGCTGTGCAGTCGTGGTATGAAAAAATTGTTCCCAATATGATGATCTGGTTGGTGGTGATTAGTAGTGGTTAATGGTTAATTAATGGTTAATGATGGTTAATGATGGTTCATAATCTGGTTGGTGGTGACTGGAACCATGGAATTTTGAATGACTTTCCATCTGCTTGGGAAATTCATCATCCCAACTGACGATTCGTCATATTTTTCAGAGGGGTAGGTCAACCACCAACCAATGATTCACATGGAGAATGATAAGACATTTGATGTAAACAAAATCTCTCCATGTCCCAATGCTACCCTCTGGTTATTTAGCATAGCCATGGTATAGGTGGCCCATAGAAATAGATGGTTTACCTATATTAAATAACCAGAGGGTAAGTGGTTTATCCTATTCATCAACCCATCAACCAACGGTTTTTCGCATGGCGCCTCTTGGGAGGCGCCTCCCAAAATACAGCCAGTGGATCCTGTGGACTCGAAGCATTGGCAGGCACGACCTGTTCGAAGCCTGGAATCATGGTGAATGTATAGGGGAATCATCCCAAAATGGGTATGGATCAATACCTATTAATACCATTTTTAGTGGGATGAACATCCATTTACCAGCTATTTTGATGTGAACTACAGGGGTACAAGGTTTTGACCCATCCCAAAATGACCTTAATTCAGCCCATACGCTCCATGTATGGAATATTTACCAACATTTACCCCATAAATGAGCCAAATGTAGGTAAATATACTATACATGGAGCATCTGGGCAGGTTAGTGAAATATTATAATTTACCCAGATGTGCGAAAAAAAGACATAAATTTAGTATCTATCTATCAACATTATGGATATTAGATGATATGAGTATCTATACGTAGATACATATATGTCAGTTGGATATATGTTTATCATACGTCATACGTTTAGATACGAATCTCAAGACACATATAGTTAATAGATACCGAATGATACTAATACAAATGACTTAATACCCACAGCTGCATATTTGACTATGCAGATCATGTAATAAAACATATCGTTATGTCATCTAATGACGTGCTATATTGACATATGTATGGCATATGGCCATGGCAAGGCGGTGGGGTACCATAGCTACCATGGCTACCATGGACCAACTTAGCCAACTAGAGATCACCTTGATGTTTCATTGCCGTTCATGGAGGAAGGCATGGGGTATCTAACGTCTCAGTACCTCTCCGTTGATGGAAGGTTTGGGGCCCAAATTCTGTGTATACGTCAATGTAAAGTCCCTCCAACGCACAGATTTTGGTCATAGTTTGGTATTGTGGTCGAAACTGTTGCTGTTGGGGAACCGAAGTTTGCCCAACGCCCCTAATGTATCCTAATGTCAGGAAGTTCCAATGTGCTTTGTGTGATGCCATTGTGTTTTTCCATCGTGGGGATCATGAATCGTGGGCAAGCGGGAAAACAGAGGTCATGTGAACTTGTGTCAAAGATGCAGCCGGATGGGGTCGCTGGGTTTATTCCAGTTGAAAGTATATATTTTAAGATAGAAAAAGATGAACAAATGCACAATCTAATTCTCAACAGATCCAGTTGCTGATTTACCTTATGCTATCATGGGTGACGGCCGATGGGAGGTACCTAGAGTAGAATTCTCGTACAAAACGAATCCCAGAGAATCCTGTGGCAACCGTGATTCCACCGAGATTCCACAGGTGATTTTCAAGGATGAAGAAACAAATGTGAGGATGGAAACCTGGCGCCAAGTTATCAATCCCATGACGGATCCGGCTGGTGCTGGTAGATTAATGCTAACATGACTGTCATGACTGGGGTATATTGATGGGATCCATGGCACACCATATATATAGCAGCACCATGGATCCGTCATGGGAATGGGAATAGATTTATAAGGATCCAATACATGGAGGTGTACGTTGTTTACGTAGTACCATATTTTTGGACCAGATGTTGTGGGGATATTCCCTGAAATTATATATTATATATATATAGGCCAAACATATATGGTGGGTACCTCCTTCATGAATCGGATCCTGTTGCATGGCCATTGAAACATGCGTGGCTGGGACTGTTGTGTCGGATCTTCGTAGCAAAAAGACAGCAGGAATGGGGTGCACCAACCAACCCAACATGGAGTCTGTAAGTGTTTATAGACAAAATATCAACATTGAATAGGTGAGTTCCATTGATTTGTTGCTATTTCCCGAGAAGCGAAATACATAGATAGGATATACCTATTTCTGGTTTCAGACGTTTGCTGTCCCATGCGGCCCAGACAAGCAACCAGGCTGCTCAGTATGGTCCGGTATGGCTACTGTAAACCATCCAAGAATTGGTGTTTGTGTTCCAGCCAAGGAAGTACAAAGGTGCCCCGAAGCTAGCCAAGATGTTTTATTTGTAGGTTAACTAGGATTTATGGTCAATTTATGGTAAATCAAATGTATCTACAGTTAGATTGGCTTAAAAAACAACTTATAACTAGGGTGCACCACCTGGTAAAAAATCGGCACTTCCCAAGATATTCCCATCCACAAATCTTGTGTTGGCGGCGAAAAATAGAAGCATAGGTGGGTAGATGAGCAAAACAATTTGTTTGAATTTTGCTTAGCAGGATATCAGGGTTGGGACCTCTTCTGGTTTGGATATTTCCCTTTTTTTTTTCCTGGTACCCAATGATGTTTTTCGTTGTAAATGTTGTGCATGCTGCGGTGTCTGAAATAACATGTCTCACCTTTCCATTGTTGGAAACCCAGCTGAGGAATATTTGCCCAGCAAATACATTCCCGGCGGAGCGACCTACCGTGCACGTGCGGTGATGGAGATGCCATTGAGTGTGGAAGATGCAGTTTGGTGGCAGGAAACTCCATTCCCATAGGATCCATGTATGCTATATATATGGTAACATGGATCCCATCAATATACCCCAGTCATGTTAGCATAGGCCATACATGGATCCTATGGGATTGGAATCTTTGGAGGGGGATTTGACCAACCAACAAGATGGTACAACACAACACCAAACACAAGAGCACACCAACAGAACAGCACGAGAGCCGCGACGACGACAACAACAGCAGCAACAAAGCAAAAGAAAACACATTTCGGGAGCAGAAGGCCAGATGTCCATGTAAATTGATCATTGGATTGGTTTGAGGGAACAATTACAGGAAATCATGTTTTTGTGGAGTGTATGCATGATCCTCCTGATTTTGTGGTTTTCATCGTTTTCATCCAATTCCAAGAATTGAGGGTCAGGCTAGTTCAACCATCTTTGGCGATATGATAAATAATAATTCATAAGCCATCCTCAGTAACCCATTTGTTGTAACCCATTTGTTGGTCATATGTTATATCATATCATATATTGTATCATCCCAAATCCAAGAAGTGGCCGACACGGTCACTAAAACATGGTCACTCCCAACACCCCAAAAACGATACGTAATAGGGGGGTAATGTGGCTAAATAGAGAGGTAAAAGTAGTCCATTTCCTCCCTTGTGGCTCTAAGTGGCTATCATTCAATATTATGATATTATGTACCTGAAATAGATTGGAGCAACTGTGTTAAAATCATTAATTTATTATGTGTTTTTTTACATCAAGAATCTGTAGGTGCCTCGAATAAGAAGAGCCACGAGCAATCGCTGCTATTACAGTTCCCACCAAGGCACTGATGTGTTTTATGGACTTCTCCAAGAAGAAGTTGAACTATGCTCGCCACCCGACTGGAATTTTGGTAATTCTGAGGAGATTTTCATCGTCGGAATTGAAGATGCAAAATGGTGATTCCAAAAAAAACAGAATAGACGAAGTAATACTTTCACAACCAAAACAAGGATTTCAACAAGCAAACTGGAGTTTTCCAACTATTCCATGTTCATGAGGTGACTACAAGGACATCAGCGTGGACAAGGTGTTGAAACTTGGCCGATGACCCGACATGGATGTCACCAGTTTTCCACTGCGCAAACCCTCCGGCAATTCAAGAGTTTGCGAACTGGAAAATGGCCCATTGATAGATGATGTTAGACAACCCATTAGAAAATTCGGTGATTTTCCAGTTCGCTATGGCAGCTATGTTAAATTGCCAGAGGGATCCAGAGGTGGATTGGCGAAGATCGCTTGGCCATGGCTATTTCCTTGGCAAAATTTATCCTGTTGGATCCCTATCACTTGGATTCCCAACCGGCCACCAGATCGCTTCAAAATCCACCGTTCGTCGCGCTTAGGAAACACACCGGACAACTTCCAGGAAATTTGCCGGAAGAAAGCAGCTGGGACAGCTCTTTTGGGGGAGATATGATGGTTTTTGTCTAGGTAAAGTCCAAAGTTGCCATGTTTAATCGGCATGAAGTTTGGGCTACCCATAGCCTATGTTGTCTTGACTTTGAACCCGCTTAGCCAAGGGGGATTTCCATAAAGGTTCTCTCTTGTCATAGTAGTTTCATGGGGTCCTTCGGTCATCCTGGGAACCATTGGATATTACTTTTTGGAAATACGGATTCATCAGGTTTCTCCGCGGGGAATACCTCAAAATGTAGACTTGAATTGAAACAGTGATGATCAAACGCACACATGTTTGAAGGTACCCGGGTACCCTTTGGTAATTCCATTTTTCACAGTTTGCTATTGAAAATGGCCCATGAACTTGTTGATTTTACCATATTTTACCCATTAAACATGGTGATTCTCCAGTTTTTTAACGTGACCAGAGGCTGTCCCCATGTTCCGCTAGGCATCGTGACAGTGTCCCTGAACTTCTCGGGATTTCTGTGGAGACTTGGGCGGTTGATCCCGGAGAAAAGCGATGCACGGGTTGTTTACCCATTGGTTAATAGTGGTTAATATTGGTTAATAGTGGTTATTATATGGAAAATCCTCCCCAAGATAGCCTTATTTCAGGTTTGTGAAATATTATAATTTACCCAGATCTATGGTTAATAGTGGTTAATCATGGTTAATAATGGTTAATGAGATATCTGGTTGGTGGTTTGGAACCATGGAATTTTGAATGACTTTCCATCTGGTTGGGAATTTCATCATCCCAACTGACGATTCGTCCATCATTTTTGGTGGGTATACCACCAAGTAGTAAAGGTTGTTTACCCATCCATGGTTGGTTTCTGAACATAGTCTATACAATACATGCCAGCTAAAGAATAGGTGTCTGGCAGATACTGTTTGTCGACATTTGCATAGATAGTGGTAAACCAACTTGTAAATGCGGCGGGGCTCATTGAAAGATGGGGTATGTTCTTCAGGGGAATTTCCTGCAAGGATAAGGGAAGTTGTGGTGGGCTAGATGCTCCATTGGTTTGGATCAACTCATGAGAATTACCCAACCTGGTTATGACTAACATAGCCATGGAAAGCCATGGCCCATAGAAATAGATGATTTTCCCAGCTATAAACCTCCATTTATGGTTGGGATTTTCCATGGCTATGTTAGTCATAACCAGATGGTAACCTCAAGCATTGATTCAGGCCCCCCACAGGTGATAAGTAGTGTAGCCGGATTTGCACCGGCGAAGAGTTTAGCAGTCTAGCATATGGATATGGGTCAATACCTATAGATACATTTTTAGTGGGTTATTCACATCCATAAATCCCAGCTATGACTTGGGGTGAACAAAAGGTACTAGGGTTTTGACCCATCCCCATCTAAGAATTCAGCCAGACTTGTGGAAATCTATTGGACTTTGTCCAAACATTGGGGACCATAATGACCCTTAGCGGCGCCAATTGCTTTCCTGGTTTCCCAACTAACTAAACGGTCTTGACCATGTCTTGACCATGTGGATCCGCTTTTTTGGGAAAATCTAGGTGCCAGTCAAACCATGTCAATACTATTACAATACTATTACAATACTTGCATTGTAAGCTGGCTTTGTTTTTCAACCGCACCAAGCCGTAATTTCACTGCTAGATTTGGTGGATTTTTACATCCGGATGATTGGGGTCCAACAGCAAGGCAAATGGCAAAGATCTTCATGGATGTCTCTATATGGGTATGGGTCAATACCTATAGATGCATTTTTAGTGAGATGAACATCCATTTACCAGCTATTTTGATGTTCACCAGGGGAAGGTATCGGCTCAAACCGCCCTTTTGTTTTAGCATTGAGGTAGGTTCGCCATTTGCCTTAGCGGGTTGACTACTGCCGCTACCCGCGGGTTCTCGTTCTTCAAGTTCGATTACCTTCTGTAAGGTGGATTGGTTTGGGGTTATCCTGGAACAAAACCCCCATTTCCGTGGACAGCTTACATTTTGTAATCCGCATCAGCTGCCTTTAAATAGGCCTTTTGCGTTTCAATTGGGTTGTTTACAGTTATTTGCTCTGGCACTGCGGGGGCCGACAACCGAGCGGCTTACACAGTTGATTTTTATTCCTGTGTTTTTCTTGGTGGTGGCAGCAGTATCAGCGGGCATTCTTGGATTGGGCGTTGGCGTGGCATTGGTGGTCTCTAGTGAGAAGTGGATGTGTTCCTTTCTGTTACTGTTTCTCATCTTTGTCGTGACCTTTACGTTCTTACAAGATTTTTCCCGGTCCAAATTTCAATACCTGGCGGAGGAGGGACAGGCGCCGTCGGGCTACAGCACGCAGAAATTGGTTTCTGCACAAGTCAGGGAAAATAAGTCTGACCTCAAGATCATTGATTCAGGTTCGGAATATTTTCTCCAAGCATCATTCGAAGGACTCTGCATTTCTCAACAGAATTTCATCAGAGATCCAAGTCAAGATGGCTTCAGAAGAAGCTTACCCATGGGTTTGTCCATGTGGACGACTGAACAAAAAGTCAGCGAATCAATGTGCGATGTGTTGGGGGCATTGGACAAAAGGCTTCAAACACGATGTTACTCCAAAGAAAAGCACTTATGCAGCAGACACCCCATGGAGCAGCTCATGGGAGGACTGGGAAGAGTGGCAAGGAAGCTGGAAAACCTCATCGGAATGGGAGGATTGGGAAGAGTCCGACAGTGCTGGAAGGACTGGTTCTCAATCCCCGAGAGCAAGGCAATTTCAGCAAGATGCCTTTTCACCACGAGGTCGAACGGGCAAGAGCAAAGGCAAGGGAAAGTGGAAAGGAAAAGGGAAGCCCAAAGGCGAGCAGGCAGCAAATCCGTTTGCACCTGGCAAAGGAGCTTCATCCTCCTTGCCGCAATGGCCAAAGTGGGAGACTCCAGATGCTGCTGTCTCTCCGTTCCAGTCAGCCCAGTCGAGCAAGAATTCCACGATGCAAGAGATGGCATCTCATTTGCGTCTGGCTTACAAAGAAAGGGATACACCCACCGAAGTCCAAGCATTCTTGGACAAGGCGGACAAGGAGTACAGCAGGAACAATATCAAATCGCTTCATGCGGCTACAAAGAGCTTAGATCATGCCCAGAAAGCACTCAGAGACGCGGTCAATGCGAAAAAGGATCACAGACTGCAGTGGACAAGACATGTCAGCGAGGGGATCAAGATTTGGGAAGCGCAACTGGAAAGTTATCGAGTTCACCAAGCGACCCTCGCCGAGCATGCAAGTCGTGCAAGGGCAGAAATCGAAGCATCAAGGAGAATTCTCAAGGAGGTGAGCGACAATACAGTAAAGGAGGGCAATCTCTCGATCCCACAGCCGATTCAAGAAGAAACCGAGGATGTAGCCAACGAGAACAGCGTGGACCCCGAGGAGCAGAAATTGAGAGATCAACTCCAGGGTGTTCTGAACGCATGCGCTGGCTCCCTGGGACTTCAATCATCGGCTCCGGAGGCTCATGTCGAGATCTCAGACGAGGACAAAGAGCAGCCCCCACACAACAAAAGGCCAAGATCGGTAGAACCGGTGAAACCTACCACTGTCACTTCCAAACAGTGACACTTGGCCGTGAGTTACCAGTTCATAAGAATGGAACTCATGAGGCCTGGCCGCATATGTTTCCAAATGGCCATTCTGTCATGTCTGAATGGAACTATGCAAGTCCCATCACGTCTGTTTGGTCGGCATGGAAACTACGAGGTGAAGTTTTGCATGATGTTTCTCAGGATTCGTTCATGGATGAAGCCCATTGCCACTGCCTGTGTAGTGTTGCTCATCAGTTTTCCGATGGTTCCCTCAAATCCATTCTTTCCAGTTCTCAAGGACCACATTACGATCGACGTAAATCGCGTCGGGTTCGTTTTGATGATCGTATTGAACTTGCGTTGGTTTTGGATGATGAGTGCAGAATGCATCATATTTTCATTGAGCATATCATTTTGCAGGAGTGGGATGAGAAGCCGTGGAAATACACGCCAAAACCTCCTAGTAGAAAGTACTCCTGGCGCAGACTCACCAATTTGTCATATCCTTTTTGCGATTTCTCTGCACACTGCGAAGACAGGTCTGAGAGCGTAAATAGTTGTGGTCAGTTTGGTGTGTCTTGCACGCATGATGTCCGTTTACCAGATGATGAGCAGTCCAGGCAGTCTTCATTTGCTGAGCCGCACTGGATTATGCAACTTAACCGTATCATTGCTTCACTTCCTTCCAGCACGGGTTGTGATGGAAATTTACATGGTCTGTTGGTGAACACGTGGATTGCTGATCATGAAAATCACAAACTCAGTTCCATGTCACGAGTAGTTTGTCTCGGTTCTGCATCCTCCACATGGCATGATCAGGTTGTTGCCCGATGGAGTCAGGAACTGCGAAATCCAACTCAAGCTCAGATTCACGTTGTCCCATGGACCGATTCAAAGAAGCGCAGGGATCGCTGCGTGTCAGATCTTATTGTCGTCAATGACTCTGATCTTCCTGCTGCACTGGTTGAAGTGATTTCTAGTGAAAAGAATTGTATGCAGTCGATCACATTTGCCACACTGGTTAAAAGTGCATCATTACGAAGTTTTCTCCAGCAGTTTTGGAATGTCAGCCCATTACATAGACTTGGAGATGGTCAGTCTATTAAGGTAGTGGGAGATGACAACCTGGCTGAGATCAAAAATGGTGCACGTTTTCGGATTTGGGCAAAAACGCCTACAACAATTGAAAAGAGCAGGAAGTCAGTGCGAAATGACAACATTCTTTGTGACATTACCAATCTTGAACTTTCCAAAGCTGGACAGCTTCCAGACTCTTCCGTGAAAGGAGGTGATCCGCTGTCAATTTTGGCCGTGTCGATCTCTCCATTAGCGGGAAAGTGTGAAAGGTCTCAAATCGACTATGTTGAGGTTGAAGTGTATCACAGCCTCAACCGGTCCAATGATGAAAACACACAATGGCTGGATGATGAAATGTCGGTCATGCAAACCGGCAAAAAGTTGGCACTTCAATGTAAAAATGCTCCAACAAGCCTTCAACATGAAGATATTATCCAGGTCATTCAAAATGGACAGGACTTCCAAGGTGGTGATGATTCCGGTTCTGATGTTCCTGAAGATCAATCGACAGAAGGATATTCTCCGGGTGACAATTCAGAACCGGCCGAACAACATCATGCATCTGTTGAAGAGAGTAGACAGGAAGTCATTCTTTTTCACCTTGAGGACTACCCGATCAGAACGTTTGTCAGTTGGGATAGTTATGAACAGATGATTACAGAGATAGCGCACCACTATGGTCTCAGCAGAGATGAAGTCGAGGATGTCTATGAAGTTGCGGTTGCACCTCCTGATATTGGCAACGAAGTAGTTCCCACGGTAGTGCATGTCTTTGGAGACATACCACATCAAAGTACAGAAAGATTGGTGTTGATCGACATTGAATATCATGCGCATCGTATTGAAGGGAACTTCCGTAGTGGACCCAACAT